TAAATTTCTTAGTTTTTGGTTTAGTTGCTTGGTTGAGTTATAGTAGTGGTACTCCCATCGGAGAGTTAGTGTGAGTGTCAATCACGACGATCTGGGTCGTGACAAAGTTGGTATCAGAGCCTAGGTTCGTTGATCTCTATGTACCAAAATGAGTCTAGTAGAGTCTCGCGGAACGGTACGGGGACGGCTTTACTTTTCTTCTAGAGACTATAGGACTTTAGGAAATCTCTCTATTTTCTCTTGTCTCCTTTCGTGTTATGACTTGATTCCAATTGGTATCTGGCGATTCAAATTGGTATCTAACTTCCTTCACTCTTCTGTCCGCAGATGGTTAATACTAGATTCAACGGCATCAGGCACGTAGCTCCCGTCAATGCTCCGGTTGAAGAATCTGCAACGAGAGGTCTCGATCGAGGTAGGGGTAGAGGTCGTGGAAGAGTAGCGCCTGTTGGAAAATTGAGCTCCTGTTGAGAATGCTCCTGTGAATGAGAACCCTCATGCGCATCATGAAGAGATTGAAGAGGAGAATGTTGATGTTGAAGATGTTGAGGATATGGGACAAGAGGAAGAGGTGCAGGTTGGGACTACATGTGTTCCTTCTTTGGATCCAGTGTTAGCTCAACAGATCATGTGGTTCTTAAAGGGATTGGTTGGTCCTGGAGTGCTTCCTTCTGCTCAAGCAACTCAAGCTCCTACTAATCCTCCTGTTGCTAGCACTGCGCCCAAGGTGGGTGGGACTGGAGGTAATGATGCTTTCTTACGTCCTTTGTTGGGTTCTGTTATGACTGGAAATGAGCACGAAATGTTGACTAAGTTTCTGAAGCTAAAGCCTCATGTGTTTCTTGGTTCTGAGAATGAAGATGCTTATGAGTTTATCTTAGATTGCTATGAAAGTCTTCATAAGTTAGGAATTGTCCATCAACATGGGGTTGAGTTTGTGTCCTTTCAACTTCAAGGTGAGGCTAAGCAGTGGTGGAGAGCTTATATGGAATGCAGATTCTACTTTACCTCCACTTACTTGGACCCAATTTCATGCTCTGTTTCTAGAGAAGTATGTGCCTAGGACCTTGATGGCTTGCAAGAAAGATGAGTTCATGGCTTTGGAGAAGGGTGGTATGATTGTGGCTGCTTATGAGGCCAATTTCCATGCTTTGTCTAGATATGCTACTCAATTGGTGATTACTTAGGAAGAGAGAATCCATTTATTTATTAGGGGAATAAATTCTGAGTTGCAAGTATTATCTGTTCATATGACTTTTGCAGGGAGGAGCTTTAATGAGGTAACAGACTATGTTAAGAAAATAGAGGGGGTGAGGCGAGACGGTCAAGCTAAGGCATGGGAGAAAAGGGCCAAGAAATCGGGTAACTTTCAAGGTTCTTATTCCAAGGGGTCCGGAAGGCCAACACTTGCAGCCAAGCCAATTCAGTCTGATATTTCCGCCTCTACAGGTAGTTACTCGGAAACTCCATCTCATAATTTTCAGGATAGCTAGGAAGTCGCGCCTTCGACGGGCGGCAAACCATCTTTTGATCGTACTTATTACAATTGTGGAGAACTAGAGCATATGAGTAGAGATTATCCCCACTCACCTGTGTTAGATTCCGCACAGCAACAGTCTAGAGCAGTGGTACCCACAGAAAATGGTAATAATGGTAGAGAACGTCCACAAGGTGGACGATGAGATAATCAACGAGGCCATGGAGGTAGAGGAAATGGTAATGCAGGCAGAGGTAATGTGCAACCAGGCAGGGAAATGATTCGTCAAGATGATAGAGCTCAGTGTTATGCTTTTTCGGGCAAAAATGAGGCAGAGACGTCTGACGCGGTGATCACAGGTACTATTCTTGTGTATGACCGGATAACTAATGTGTTATTTGATCCGAGTTCTACTTATTCATATGTATCCGTGAGATTTGCCTCAGATTTTGATATGATTTGTGATATTCTTGATTCCCCTATTCGTGTTTCCACCCCAATTGGAGAGTCAGTCATAGTTACCCATGTCTATCGTGCTTGTCCTATTTTATTTATGGGTTTTCAGACTTAGGCTGATTTGGTGATTTTGGATATGACTGTCTTTGACAGAATCTTAGGCATGACTTGGTTGACCCTCTATTATATTGTGCTTAATTATAATACTAAGTCCATAACTCTAGAAATTTCGGGAAAGGAAAAATTAGAGTGGGAAGGGGTGTACAAGCCTAAGCAAACTAAGATCATATCCTCCATTCGGGCTAAGAAATTGATAGGGCAGGGTTGTTTGGCTTATTTGGCTCATATTAGGGACGTTGAGATTGAGGCTCCATCCATTGGGTCTATTCCTGTGGTGTCAAAATTTATAGAAGTGTTACCTAATGATTTTTCTGGTATGCCTCCGGATAGAGATATAGATTTTTGCATTGATTTAGAGCCTGGTACGCATCCCATTTCTATCCCTCCATACCGCATGGCTCCGGCATAATTAAGAGAACTTAAGGCTCAAATCCAAGAGCTTCTTGATAAGGGATTTATTCATCCTAGTGCTTCCCCATGAGGTGCTCCAGTTTTGTTTATTAAGAAAAATGATGGTAGTATGAGAATGTGTATAGATTACCGACAATTGAATAGGGTCACTATTTGAAACAAGTACCCTTTGCCTCAAATAGATGATCTTTTTAACCAATTGCAAGGTGCATCGGTTTTCTCTAAGATTGATCTAAGATCCGGTTACCATCAATTGAAAATTAGGCATGAGGATGTGCCCAAGACGGCGTTTAGAACTCGCTATGGGCACTATGAGTTTTTGGTTATGTCTTTTGGTTTGACCAATGTGCCTGAACTTTCATGAGTTTGATGAATGGGGTGTTTAAGCAGTTTCTTGATTCGTTTATCATAGTCTTTATTGATGATATTTTGGTCTATTCGACAAGTGAGGAAGAGCATGCGAACCATTTTCGTAGCGTCACTACAACATTTTAGGCCTACAACCATCCCAGTAAAGTGTAGCCTAAACTAGCAAAAAGTGTGGCCTTTCATATAAGGCTACACTTTTGGACTTTAAGTAACACTTTTTAAGGAGTGGCCAAAAGAAGCGTAACCTTTGACAGTAGGCCACACTTTTGAAATATCACCATAGCAGCTACACTTAAAAAGTGTGGCCAAAGAGGTATAAAGGGCACACTTTGTAGTGATTCATTAGCAACACCTTTTGTTGATTATACTACACTTAAAAGTGTGGCCTTTGCTTTGTTAATGGTCACATTTAAAAAATGTTGCCTTTTATATCTCATCTAGAACAACACTCATAAAGTATGGCAATGTTGTGTAAAATTTTTGTAGCCACAATTTTTCATTTTTAAGAATAATAATTTTTATTTGCATATATTCAATAAATCACATAATTAAATATATAAGTGATCCAATGCACAAAATTAGCTAATAAATAATCGAAGCGATATATTTCGAATAAGCTTCGAAAAACATATTGTGTACAACCAATACATATAAAGTCATTGTTTAAAGATCTCTACTATCAATAAATTCCACAAAATCAAATGCATTCAAACGAATATGACAATAGTACAAAAACTCTTCATCATTCAATACAATAGATCGAGCACAAGCTCGCAAATGTTGTGTATAATAGACCTTTGTGATCCAGCCTTTACTTGAACCTCGTGGCTGTGCGTAGTGAGAGCTTAGTGCACCGAGCTGTCCTTTTTATTTTATTGCTTGACTGACCAAACTCCAGATGGATATTTAAATCAGAGGATAATTAATTGAAGCTCCAAAGAAACATAGTCTTGCATTACACTTACATTTACATGAGTCTAAAGTGTAAAACACGTTCCCCCCTCTACATGATCTTGTTATTTTTGTAAATGTTGTTATAAAACCATATTGTGTGCACAAATCATCTTTTCCAAAAGAGAGATCCCCTACAATTTTTATTTTTAAAAAAAATTGAGTTCAGAGCTTGGATTAATTCTATGTCGACACCTAGAGTTTCTTGGAAACATGACTATGAAAAACAATTATCAAATCAACAGTTATGAGATGTTCACACATCAGACAACTAACATTGACATGTTCATTCATGTCCAAAGTTTGAACGGGCATAGACACCAGCACATTCAATGGAAATAAAAGAGTGGAGGGTCAGACAAAACAAGCTGCTTGTTCAACTGATATGGAAATCACTATTTCAGGATAATATTTGACAGGGAATTTAAGAGAGAGTAACAGGAAACTCACTAGTAACTTGTTAGCAAAAGATGGAAAATAACGGGAATCCTTTCCAAAAACAGAAAGTACTTAGTGAGTAGAAGTTAATTTTAGTGATGTCCTGTGGAATTTGCAGTATCTTAACAACATATAAAAGAAACAAAGATTTGTATGTCTCTTTTGACAAAACTGACATGTAGAATATCTTATGAGTGTTTAAATCCACAAAGTTCATTTGGTAAATCCCAAATCAATCAAGAAAGCCATGTTGCTAACTGTCCAGACCCAAATAAAATTGTGTTGTACTTGAATCATCTATGTAAGATCCTTGCATTAGGGTATGTTGGTGTGCATAATCTCAAACATCAGATGAAAAATGTGCATAATCTCAAACATCAAACAATGTCACTCAATGTGCATACAAACTCGTTCCAAAGGAAAATAGCAAGAAAGATATACCTTCAATTGCTCTGTAGCATTCTGAATTTTGATCATAGAATTTGTATGATTTTGAGATGAAACAATAATAATTTTGTCTCTAGCAATTGGGAAGTTGCTTACAATACTAACTGTTATATTTAGCTGCAAAATTAGAACCAAAAGAAGTAGTTTTATTATACAGATGAAAAATACAGAACAATAGTTGTTGCTAGGAAAGGTAACTAATAAATTGATTATTTATTTTAAGATTTTTCCAAAAAGAGAAGCTAGAAGTGTAAATAATCAACTAATCCAAATAAGTTAGTGATGAATTGATTTACAAAGAATGATGATACCAGTAAATAAGCAGAGGTAGCTAATAGATTCTCTCGGCTGTGGAAACTGAACGCAAGAAAATAACAATAACAGTTATATTGTCTTTTCTCCCTCTTTCCGCAGCTTCTGTCGCTAACCTCTTTGAACACATTCCTGCTTCTTTCACTGTGTCTCTGATTATGTTCACTACATCTTTCTCACTAACAACATCCCAAAGCCCATCACTCGCTATTACCTAATAAACCACGCAAACATGAATCATCATTTTAAACCCAAACAAAACAACCACTGCAACTGTAACAGCATAACTATATACATATTGTCAACTGCTGGAGCAATTAATTGAGAGTTGTTGATAATCAACCTTGGTACAGACACATTATCAAGTCAAGATAACAAGCAAAATGGCGACGAGAATGTCCTAATATACACAGAATAAAAGAGACAACGGAAAGAGGAAAAAATAAAGAAAAGACAAAGGGGATTCACGAGATAATAGTGTGCTCTTTCTATACACAAGGGGCTACATATCTCTCACCAGGGACCTTTCTTAACTAATAACAACTATGCATACCTTACTATGAATGCCTTGAATTGACCTTGTGAGTGTCCCTTCAAAAATCTAATGCACTTTACAAATTCCAATATCAGCATTACACTTTCACATCCCTACTCTACTTCTTTTCCCCACCCAAAAAATTCACGCTACCAGTTAAATTAGTATCCAATCCCCTATTAAAATCAGAAGAGAAAGGAAGAAAACAAAAACACAAGTATCCATACATTTCAAAGTCAAATTAAAAATGTTTGATCGTACCCATACATGTCAAAGTCAAAGTAATAAGAGTGGCTGCAAAGAGGAAGCAACAACAGTCAAAGAAACATATGGCCTCAAACAAACAAATGATATTAGTAACAGACCGGAGTCCATGTCCTTAGATGTATGTTATTTGTCATTATCTTTAATGGAAGTTGAAAAACAGACCCTCATGTGGGAACTGATTGTGCAACAACGCAATATGTGCTTTCAAATAACTTGTTTTGATAGAACCAGAGATTAGAAGCTAAATCCAATCTAAGAATCAATTTATTGGTCTGAAAGTGGATAAAATGTGGTCACATATAAACATATAGATAGATTCACTACTAGGATTTGATAACAATAAGTAGTCATTGAAATATCACGTAATGAAATTTTCTTGTTGTAATCCTTACAATATATTCATCCTCGATAGAAAGAGTAGTCGAAGTTATCTCAGGTTTCGCAGTTACAGCTCGCTTCAGATCATCATCGTTGATAGACCTTGTGACCTAGAGAAAGTAAATGCAATCAGATTACTAAATGATAATACAATATCTATATTTTGGAAGATCCTAAATCACCAACTATTTCTTCTATTGTTTTCCTCACAAGGCCTGCCTAAATCACCAACTGTTGAAATAATGTATTCTGCCAAATACAGATCCATTGCTATTTGCTGCTAGTCTAGGGGTGTTGGCCACCCCCACATATAATTTTCGAATGTCAAATATTTTTCATACTTCTATAACACAAGTCGTTAACTTATCATTCGTCATACAATATATGCAGAAGTTAAGGTAGTACATTCAATGCCCACTTATTCTGATATTAATACATTTATAACTTGTATAGCAACTTGATCATTGAGCTTTATGATATCTAAATATTTTATAGCTGTTAATGAATGAATATAATGCAGACACCACTTTCCCTGACTAAGGATTGGATAATGTGATATATATACATTTTCCTTTACTAAAAGGATTGGATAATGTGTATATACATTTGGACCATGCACCAGTGCTACTTTTTTTTTAACATCACATAGCTTATTGTATCTATTTCAAATGGAACTGGGATCAGAAGGCAAGTGAAAATCTTACAGACAAAGGATTCTTCTGATAAAAAATATAACAAGAGAACTACAACAAACTGGAAAGTTTGCATAAATGCAAACTTCCAGAATATATAAACACATATAGAAGGGAAAAACAAGAACATCCAAGCCAAAGCTGAAAATTGGCAAGAATTTGGTGGAAATAGAAGAAAAAAAGTGTGCTCTGGATACTATACAAATCATTAAGCAATGGCTATGAAAATATGTGAAATTGGGAAGACTAACCTGGAGAGCCGCTTCACCCACCCTCCATGTATCCACTTGCCATTTGACAAGGCTACCTGCACGGATAATACATTCCCGCTCCTCAAGACAACTTGCAACTTGATCCTATAACAGTACCGTATATCAGTGGAAATGCAAAGTCTTCTGATTCATCAGAAAGTTAGCTAAGAAAATGAATCATCTCACCCTACTTAGAGCATATGGGATCCCAGATCGACACAAGATTGCTCTGCAATCACTAGCATTAGCAACAATAAGTTTGTTTTTGATGATAAGAGCAGCTATTGCAGTACAACCAGGATGCCAATCTTTCTGAATTGCTCCCTTGCGTTTGCGAGAAGAATCAAGTTGTGTCCTGAATGTAACATCTGTCTTTATGAATGCTTCAAAAAGCGCATCAGAGGGACTGCAAAGTCATAAACATCCGTTCTTACAAAGCCTTCAAAATTTCAGATCTAGGGCAACTAGAATCTCTTTTAGAGACTTGGAGAGTTTTTTTTATTGTTTATGAATTTTCTTTTGGGCCAAATAAAAATGGGAGGGAGAGTTAAATTTGTTAGAGGTAATAAAATATTTTAGTGAAAACTATAAGGCCACACTTGGTAAGTGTTGTTTTCATAATTATAAAAATAGTTCATTTTAAAAGTGTAGTCATTTATATAAATAGGTGTAGCCAATTATATCAAGATGTGACAAAGCTTATAAAGTGTAGCCTATACTACTAAATAGCACGTTTTTCAAGTGTTGCCAATATTATCACGATCAAAAGCTAAAAACTAAGGCTACACTTTAAAAGTGTAGCCTTAAATGATTTAGGCAACACTTTACAAGCGTTGTCTTGATTTAGTGTGGCTTTAGGCCTAAAATGTTGTAGTGTATTTTGGGTGTTCTTGGGAAGCAAAGTTATATGCTAAATTTTCTAAGTGTGAATTTTGGTTGAAATCGATTGCATTTTTTGGGCATGTAGTTTCAAGAGAAGAGGTAATGGTAGATCCCCAAAAGATTGAGGCGGTTAAGAATTGGGTTAGTCCTAGCTCTATGATGAAAGTTAGGAGTTTTGTTGGGCTCACTAGCTATTATCATCGATTTGTGAAAAACTTTACTTCTATCGCCATGCACTTAACTAATTTGACCAAAAAAAAGATACCATTTGAATGGACTGAAAAGTGTGAGGAGAGCTTTCAAAAGCTCAAGACTCTTTTGACCACCACACCTATTCTAGCATTACTGGTTGAAGGTAAAGATTTTATTATTTATTGCGATGCTTCTTATTCTGGGTTGGGTGATGTGTTGATGCAGGATAAGAATGTTATAGCTTATGCCTCGCGTCAATTGAAGGTGCATGAGAGGAATTATCCAACCCATGATTTAGAGTTGGCAGCAGTAGTGTTTGCTCTTAAGTTATGGCAGCATTACCTTTATGGTGTTAAGTGTGAAGTGTTTACTAATCATCATAGTTTGCAGCATGTGTTCACTCAAAAGGATCTGAATTTGAGACAACGAAGGTGGATTGTTTTACTTAAAGATTATGATGTGACCATTCAATACTATTCGGGTAAGGCTAATGTGGTGGCAGACGCTTTGAGTCAAAAAACAGAGAGTATGGGTAGTTTAGCTTGTTTAAGTGTAGCCAACAGACCTTTGGCTAAAGAAATTCAGACCTTATAATCGAAGTTCATGCAGTTGGGCATCTCAGAAAGAGGTGAGGTGCTAGCTAGTATTGAGGTGATGGCTACTTTCATTGAAGAGATCAAGGCCAAACAATTTGAAGATGAGAATTTGAAGGAACTTAGAAAGAAGGATGTGATTGGTAAGGCACAAGAGACCACTCTTGATGCGGATGGTGTACTCAATTTTAAAGGGAGAATATGTGTTCCTAGAGTAGATGACTTGATTGAGAAATTGTTTACAGAGTCTCATGGTTCGCGATATTCTATTCATCCGGATGTGACCAAGATGTATAGAGATCTGAAGCAAATTTATTGGTGGCCAGGCATGAAGAAAGACATAACGAAGTTTGTGGTGAAGTGTCGAAATTGTCAACAAGTGAAGTATGAGCATCAAAGGCTTGCAGGTTTGGTTCAAAGAATGCCAATTCCGAAATAGAATTGGGAAATGATAGCCATGGATTTTGTGGTAGGTCTTCCCAAGACTTTGGGGAAGTTTGATTCTATTTGGGTAGTGGTTGATAGATTGACTAAGTCAGCCCATTTTATTCCGGTAAGAATAGATTATAATGCTGAACAATTGGCTAAGGTGTATATGAAAGAGATAATGATGTTGCATGGGGTGCCCCTTTCTATCATATCAGACCGTGGTACCCAATTCACATCCAAGTTTTGGAGGAAGTTACATGATGAATTGGGCACACAACTCACTTTTAGTACAGCCTTCCATCCACAGATAGACGGACAGTCAGAGAGGACTATTCAAGTGTTAGAAGACATGTTGAGGGCATGCGTGATTGATTTTGGAGGGCATTTGGCTAATTTCTTACCTTTGTGTGAATTCTCCTATAATAATAGTTATCACTCCAGCATGGATATGGCACCATTTGAGGCACTCTATGGGAGGGGATGTAGATAACCCATGGGATGGTTTGAGGCTGAAGATGTGAAACCATTGGGGTTTGATTTAGTGAAGGATGTTCAAGATAAGGTAAAGAGTATTCAAGCTAATCTTTTAGCAACCCAGAGTAGACAGAAGAAGTATGCGGATCATAAGGTAAGAGACATGTCATTTCAATCAGATGAAAAGGTTCTTCTTAAGGTATCACCCATGAAAGGAGTGATGAGATTTGGTAAGAAGGGTAAGCTAAGTCTTAGATACATTGGTCCATTTGAAATTCTTGAATGTGTGGGACCGGTAGAGTATAGATTGGCTTTACCTCCTAATTTATCAAGTGTTCATCCGGTATTTCACGTGTCCATGTTGAAGAGGTATCATGGTGACGGGGATTATATTATTAAGCGGGACTCAATTGTGTTAGACAAGGACCTCCAATATGAGGATGAATCGATTGCAATTCTTGATCGTGATGTGCGCAAGTTGAGGACCAAGGAGATTAAGTCCGTGAAAGTTCAATGGAAGCATCGTCCAGTTGAGGAAGCTACTTGGAAAACCGAGAGAGACATGCGAGAAAAGTATCCCCAATTGTTCATGGATTCAGGTACTACTTCATTCTTATCCTAGACCATTTTTTCCTAAGTTTGTCACTCGAGGATGAGTGATGGGTAAATTGGTATCTATTGTAACGACCGGGTTCTGTTGTTATAGAAAAGCCAACGAGGGAAATTTAGGGCCGGAAAACATTTTCGTAGTATTTGGATTTTCCCAACTTTGTCCAGATTTGGATGAAATCAGAGTCATTGAGGTGTAGGGAAATCTGGTAACAATCGGGTGGATCATTTATAATTTTTATTACATGAATAGTTAGATAACTCGTTAAAGAATCCGTACAACTTTACGAAATTAAATTCGGGTGAGTAGAACTCCCAGAATCGATCTTGGCGTAAATGGTATTTTCTAAGCGTCGTTGGTTAAAGGTGTGTTGTGAAATGGGAATCTTGGAATTCATGAAATAGCTCTCTGTCTCGCGTAACCCGCTTTGTCGCTGGGTTTTGCAGCTCTGGTGGGGTCGCTACAGCCGGGTGATAGCCGCTGTGGCGGGATTGACGTGAATTAAAGTCGTTAATAAACCCCTAAACGACCTCATTATGCACTTTTCAACTTTTAGAGCTAAGGAACGAACCCCAAGCGACTCTTACTCATTTTTCACCATTCTTGAGGCTAAATGTAAGCTTTTCACTCCCAAAATTTGTTTTTCGATCCATAAAACATAATAAAATGGGTGAATATTGATGGGAGAAGGTTTTGTTATAGATTCTATGGTGGAAACAACCCTAAATTGGATAATTGAGATCATGGGTATGATCTAGGGTTCATAGAATTATTAGTAATTCGGGTAATTAATGATTGTTTATTGATTCCCGTATTATATTGATTGTTTGTTGACCAAGAACAAGCGAAACGAATCCGGAAAGAAAAGGATCAAGTTTCTTAGGGTTTTAAGTTTGTTTCGAGGTAGGTGATGGTTGTGATTCTATGATTGTGTAATGTATGCTTGATCTTGCTTCATTATGATACTTGTATATGTATGAATGTTGCAATGTTGATCACACTTGTTGTAAATGAGATAGA